AAGCAACCATAACCAAATCTGTGGTGTCTGAAATACACAGTATGTTTTACTGGAGCAGACATATGACCCAGTTTTTCCTTATTATGAATAGGGAACATTTCAAAAGGTACAGTTTTGATCAAAGTGCAAAGGGTTGAAATCAAAGATAAAGCAATTACTTCCTAAGTACAAAATATTTGATTGGTTTGATGAGGATTATTTGTTTTGGGTGATAATTGCTATATTGCTTTTCTGTTTCATATCCACTCTAAGAAAAATGGTCTCTGAATGACAAAAATAAACACTTTTTCAAAGGTTTATATTATTGAGAACATAACATGCTGAAGGAGGACAGACTTTTCCTTCTCATGATCGGGACTGACATTTAACAAGCAGTCAGATATATTGCAGTTGTTAGATACGAGGCCTAAGGTTTAAAAAATTATTATTCATATAATTTGTTATTATTAAACACAGTATGGTGATTTATGACAAACCAGGTCAATTGTTCTGGCATTATTCCTTCAAATGAAAATAATCTCAATCCTCCACAAGTTTAGTTTTTTTTTCCCTGTTTCTATTTTCTTTCTGAAAGGCAAAGATACTTTCACAGTCCCCTCTCCTTAACCTAAATAGCTGCTCAGTTGCAATATCCTTTGAGAAATAGTAACAGATTTTCATATGGAAATGATCTGACACTTCCCTTTACCTGGAGACTTCACAAGGATTAGATAACTAGATGGGAATAGAATTTTACTCAACAGAAATTAGGAGCTGGATTCTGCAAGTCACTTATAAGCATGCTCAGATTCTTCACACGAACAGTCCCAACAGTCTAGCTCACACCCATTCCTCCATCCTATCACCTTTCCACTATTCCTCAGGATACATCCCTAAACTGAAACTGGAAGGGACAGGAAACCTGAACTTTCAAGTATGCAGCCTCCTACCTCTACTACTCATGGAAGGAGAATGGCCCTTCCTGTGCAATGTGTTGGGAACCCAATTAAACTTTGATTAATGGATAGGATTACTCATGTAAGTGATTAGTCACATCAGAGTTTTCATGATCAGGCCATACCTTTGGTGTTTCTTCCCCCATACACTGGATGATATGACAAGTTCTCCAGGGAGAGAGAACCTTAGGAAATGCAGAGCAGAAGGTGACATTTAAGAACTCACAGCAGGGGAATTTTACTCATTCTGGGACTAGTGCATTTTGTGTCTGTAGGCATTATCATTAATTGAACACTTGTTTATGTCTCTAAAAATAATTTAAAATACTTTGATTTCAAAATGCAGTCTGGATGTGACTTCTATTACTAGTCAGAAAATATTTAAGAGGGCCTAATGCACTTCTACAGAGAGTGGGAGGAAATTATGTTTACCACCCTCTTTTAAGCTGATCTGCAAAATGCTGTCCTTTTAAATGTCTCCCAGGAACAGATTTAGAGTGAGGATGGTATTTTTTCAAGCCTTGTTTTTCTCTTTTGTTCCAGCCAAATGCTCTTTTGTTTTCTTTACTATTTCTACCTTCCTTCTTGAAGCATGATTATTAACCACTAAAACAATCAAAACACATGCTCAGTGCAAGTATCTAGAAGCATTTAGATATTGATTTTGATTCAAGGAATATATTATTTAAGACTGTCATTTGAGAATAAAACAATTAGACTATTTATAGTAACTTCTGATACAACTTTTTATACTGCTAATAAAGTGGTGAAGGAGTAGCACCATCCAAATTAGAGTATCCTGCATCACCTGATGTATCAGCCTATTAAATATGCTAAAGTTCCTTTTCTTGAATCAAGCTCAAGTCAGCTGATTGAAGAGGGATTTAAGCAAAGAGGAAGCTCTTCCCTGACCTTCGAGTAATTCCAACAAAGTATTTTGCTGCTACAGTTTTGTAAACCCAGGATCATAGGATATATTTCCTCCTTTGCTTTGGAAAGGGTTCTCCATTTCTCTGCTTAGATACACTGGACACCTGAAGGCCCAGCTGTGGAGCAGAAAGGGAGAGAATATCCCATGAATCATTACACCAACCTGCTTTTTCCTCTGTAAGGTAGGGTGGCACAGGATGAGCAAAGAGGATCCTTCAATGGTCAAGGGCTCCAGTTTTTACACTGATGAACCCTGCAGGTGAGGGTCCTTACACTTTGGGCTTCCCAAGACAGAAGGACAGCTATACTTTGCAGTGAATTTTCCAAGTCTTTGACCACTGATTATTATTACAAGCCTCGTTAAACCCTATTCCTTAGGAAACAGTGTAGTTAATATGCACCTGTTATTTGTTTATTGCACATGGTAATCAATGCATTTCTTTGCTCTTTCAGGGTGTGAGTTTACACTGAGCAAAAAAGAGCAGTGGCTGCCTCTATATGTACATAGAATACCTCACAACATGCAAGATTATGAAGACAAGGCTTACGTATTGCCTTTTTCCAAATGACCTGAGGGTATCTTTTTACTGTTTAATACACTGGAATGCACTGACATCCTCACTGGACAAAGCTGACTAATCAGGGACTAGGAGCAGCACAGCAACTCCATGTTAGCATCAAGCCTTCTGGGCATCTGGGTCCATCAGGCCAGGTAACAGAGCTCTGCTGCTTTGAGCTCTGAACATTCTGGAGAGCTCCTTGTTAGGGTGAATGTCAGAATCATTGCACTGTAACCCACACTGGGCTTTGGTTTGCAGCTTGGATAAAAAACAAGAGTGAAATGTGATCTAAAATTAGTTAAGGATCCCTGATAAGTTTTGTGCATCTGCCTTTAGGATGTTGGTGGCTGGGGAGCCTCATGGCCTGAGTGAACCATTGATAGCATCAAGGCAGCACAGCTGTTTACCATCATACAGAAAGAGGAAGTGCACAGTAGTGAAATGTCCAGTTCCCAAATAGACTTAAAATACACCAAATGCTCAGTGTAAGCAACTGTCACCAAGTGTTACATGAATGTATGGGGTGCTGTGGTTTGGAAGAGGAAGTGGTGGATGTTAGAGGGTCCATGGGAGTTTTTCAATAGAGTTACTGCTTGTACTTTCATCACTTCTTGTTTCCATGGTACTAGATTTGACACAGCTGTTGCTTGCATGGCTTTTCTTTAGGAGTCAGAAAATCCTAAAGCTGTCATTTAGTGAGTGGTACTCTTCTATAAACTATCTGGACTTCTATAAATATTGCTGACTGCATGCAGGGCATCATTAATCTTATCTTCCAGGGAACATCTCTAATCACAGTTCTACCCGCCCATGTCAATCTAGGACACATCCAAGCCTTAGAAATAGCAGTGGAAAAATCATAAAATGTTCTAACACATGGAGTTGGCAGACAAGTGCCAGACAGGATCACAAACTATGCAAAATGAACAGTTTGCAAGTGAATGGCTTTCCCCCATCCAAGTGCTGGCTGAGTATCCTATGATGATTTCAAATTAGTGCATTAGCCGTTTTTTCTTCTATATGAGTTACCCTTTAATCAAAGCTGCCTACTTGACAGTGCACTGGAACATCTTTGGTTCCATGACCAAAATGGTCTCTTAATTTACATTATTAATTCAGCAACAGTTTTCCACTTAAAACAGGATGATGTTAGAATGGGTGTTAAGTCTGCTGTGCAACAACTGCAAGACCTAATAACAAACTCTTTATATAAGCAATTAGCAAATAAGGTCAGAAAGAAGAGCTGGATGCTTCTGTTCACCATTATCTTAATTGAACTCACAATTCAGGAAACAAATAATGAATTCCAAGGAAATTGTTTCCTTTATTTCGGGGTTGGACTTAACATGTCTCCCTTGGAAAAGGCTATCTATCCATTGCACTAGAATCAAACTGCAAAATGTGAATTTGTGGTAAGTTTGTGTATCATTTTATGATGGAGAAGGCTGGAAAGGGATTTTCTTTTGGTGAAGATTTTGAGGTCCGGCTCTCTAATCTGGTTTATTACCAGAAAAAGAAAAAAGACCAGAGCTGCCTGGTAGACCACATAGGTAAGATGTAATACAGGCTCTTCCTGTACCCAAATATGTGACCTAGAACACCAGCTTGCATTGTCTGGCTGAATACAGAAGTACTTCATCCTCAGCAAAGGCAAACACATGGCACTGGCAACATTCCAGGTAAACAGACTCGCACAAACAAGGAGATAAATGTATGGCTGGTGTTGATTGTCTTTGCTGTTAGCTATTATTTATGCAGCAACGTTGAAGTGTGATGGAATATAAGATAAGAAACTCCTTATTGCAACAGTGGCTAGAACCTCAAGGGCATTTCCAGGTTTTTACCCCAGCCATTAGTTCACATTCTGTGTCATGTACCAGCCTGGATATTTTTTCAGCTGTTCATGTACCAGTGAGATTACCACTCCTCAAGCAGTCTTAGTGCCTTGTATTCAGAGTATTGTAGTTGTCAAGGTATGGGTTTAGAGTTTTAAAATCAATATTTTGTTGGGTTTTTTTGTTTGTTAGTTAGTTTTGTTTTGTTTTTGTGGAGGTAGGATGGTGGACATTTTAAATTTGGAAGCTTTTCAAAGGCTGAGATTTGACAGTTTTTTCTGAAGCTCTTGATCTGCATTTCAAGATATCTTCACTTCCATCGCATGCATTTCAAGATCCAGGTGCTTCTGAATGTAGCCTGCCCAACTGATACCTTATACATTACAAAGTGATTCCTGACGGGGTAGCAAACTCATAATAAATTAATTTAAAAACTAGCACCAAAATCTAATGTGCCCATTCTTCAGTAGAATATTGTTCAAAAGTTTTGTGAGAGCATCTTTCATCATCCATTCAATTTTGATAATTTGTAGTGATTGCTCAAAATTAACACTTCCTGCTATCAGAGAGAAGAACCTACTTAGAGAAAATTTCTTAACATATCCATATAGTCCTGCATTCATGTTCAGTGTCACTCAAGCCAATGTCCAATGTATATGTTTAATAATTATGTTTGATATGAAGCCATGTGAACAGTTAGTGACTCTACCAGAATTAAAATAACAGCAGGGAAGCAAAAATAGAAGTATAGATTTATTAGAGAAGTTATCTAAAATACAATATTATTTTCCTTTTTAAATTAGAACATATATTATTTCAATGAAAAGATATTTTGTATTATTTCTATGGTAATAACAACTTTTAAAGATAACATTTAATTTAGACCATTCTTAATTAAAAAACTCAATACTACCATTAAGACATAACTAAGGCTGTTGACAGCACGGGTAAAAATGCAAAATAGTCTCAAAAATATTTACATGTCAGTTTCTTAAAATCTAAGAAGTCTAATTCTAAATATTCATTCTGCTTAACTTTCTAAAAATACCTTTTTTCTCTAAATTATAGCAGATTCTGTATTCCTGTGCTTCTTACAAAGCTTCAAGTTATCGTTAGTTATGTGTACTATCACACCTGTGGATGAGGTTTCTTAAAATGGCTTATTTTGCTACCACCATACCCTCTCCCAAGTAGCCAACTTACTACTATAGCAGTGTCAGTCGCAGTAATAGTCACCAAAATGCACACAGCCACCCACCCCCTGCCTCCCCCAACCCCACACCTCAAGAACCCTTTCCCAATCAGCTGAGAGCCTTTCACATTTCAATAGCTGGCATTTCAGATGCAGAGCACAAGAAAGAATGGATCTGGGAGACATGATGTTGCTTGGGCACACATGGCAAAGTTTGATTTGGGCTTAGCAAAAGGGGCTCCTCACAAACACAGCAATTCCTATCACTCTCAGCACTGAGGTTACTGGAAGGAGGCTCTGACTTCTCTGCTCTTCAAAGGCTGACATGGGCGCCAGTTGTCCACCATATGGCACACGGGCTCATTCTCAGCATTGAAGCAAAGGCCACGGAGTTTGCACATCTGTGGGAAAAGGCACAAATATCCTCAAATGCATTCTCTCATTTCAACAGGACTTTTTGAAACTACCCATCTTGAGCCTGAACCAGAGCTCAAAAAAGTTTTGCCAGTATTAGTAGTCTAGAGATGGCATCAGTGCCCACATGTCTGCATTTCATCCACACCAATTCCAGCCTTGACATAACCTCTCCTGTCCACAAAACATCCTGGCAAGAACAAGTGTAAATGCACAAAAAACAAGGACATAGACACACATTTTCTGAACTCCGTGAGCAAAGAGCTATTTGTCCTTGATCCAGATATGAATTTAAATCCTTTCAGAATCCTCTGCAAGTTACACAGTTTTGGCTGGTTTTTTTAAGTCCACTTGAAACAATAACAACAAACAAATGTCTTTACCCTTGGGTCAAAATAAAGCTGTTTAATGAATTCAAGTTATCCTGATTTTCAAATGCTGTGAGAGGGGGAAACTGCTTCACAACAGGAGCATACTGTATCGTTATGGTACTTTTTCCTAAAGTACAACTGGTGTTTGCACAATCTGATGTAACAAAAGCATCTTTATGTCTAAATGAGGATCTCCAAAACTCACAAACAGATTGTGTCAAAGTAAGAACCCAAACATAATCTCACAGAGACAGGTAGAACTGCTGATGAATGTATGTAGGTGGGACACAGGATTTCCTACAAATCAGGTTCAAGGCCAGGTTTTTCGACATTCAAGGAAAAATGACCTCATCAGTGACCTGTCTCCACTGGACTTCAGCTTCAGGACTAACCAGAATGAAGTTGGAGCTCAACCTCTGCCAGGAACTGCTGTGTCACAACACGTGATAGCAGGCTTGCTACACCATGCTGTTATATTCAGCTTCAGAAAACCTATCCACCTTAAACCTTGAATCAATACTCTTATATATGGTTTCTTGTTTTGACCAGTATGGGAATAAAAAAGCAAACTGCCGCACAGTATGGAGATATTGATGGTAACATGGAGAGATGTGTAAGGGAGAAGTAAGTGGTAACTTTCACCACTAGTAGGTGGTTGGAGTAGGTATATTAGAAAAAAACCACTACTTTGGTGGGTGTGCTCCTGCCTTATAGTAAAGCCATATTTGCAGACTTTGGATTATCAACAGTAATAGGAATAGTTTGGAGTAGTGTCAACTTTAATGTTCCCTTGCAGTTTACTAATGACAATTGATCACTGCCAGAGTTACTACTTCCAACAGTTCTTGCTCATCACATATTCTATCTTTTATTAAGTTCTAAATCAGCTCAGTTGCATTTTCTTTTTATCAGAAACCCCCTAGAATTAGGTGCAGGTTGTTAGTATGTCTACCATCAATAAAAGATACTTAGGAATTTGAAGGTTAAACTAAAGCCCTTCAGGGCTGGGTTGTATTTATAGGCTCTAGATTCTATTTATATTTCTCAAGCATACAGCTCTGAACCTAAAAATGGAATCTTGCCTGTACATAACTTCATTAATGGATGATGGTACAGAAAGCTGGGGCCAAGAGTGGTTTAATCTGCACAAGCTTCTTCCTACTAGGAAGAAAATCCTTCTCAGGCTGGTCAACAGAGTATTTTCTTAGGCAGCAGACTTCTGGAATCTGCAAATTTTGCCTCTTCCAAACAATGGGATCTTTGTTAGAATCATCACAAAGCTGCGTAGGATTTCCCAGTCTGTTCTGTGACCAACAGAACTTGCAAAAAGAGTTCAGTGTCCTGGAAATGCTGGAAAATCAACAAACCAACTACAGCTCTACAGTGTGAGACTGTGGATACAGCACACATGCTCCTCAGGTGCTTTGTAAACCTGGCCTCTTCAGCAAGCACACCGAGAGGTAATTGCATGTACAGCAAACCTGGTGATGCTCACAGTACATGCTGGAATAACTCTGCATGTGCAAATGGCCCTTTCATGCATGCCTTAATTTTCCAGATTTTTACCACATGACAGCTCTAACCATGTAGCTGGAAAATATCTGTTAATTTTTTCAGCTTCCCTCCCCATCTCCCCTGGAATGCCCAAATAGAAGACAGTCTTACATTCTACAGCAAACTACATCCACAGGCAGAAGCAGAGTCCTGTGAGAAGAGGATTATCACTTCAGATAGATATTTTTGACATGTATGCTAGCTATACCCTGCACAGCTCTGCACTAACACTGCCACTTCATAGATCATCTGGTGGGCTGATCTGAAGCCATCTGTGCAACTCCAGTACACATCTACTGACACCATCCATTGGAACCATACCTGTTCAGGGCTCACAGTGATGGGCTCCTTCAGAACATGCCAGATCACACATTCAAGCAGTGGTGGAGTGGTCAGTGAGCCAGGGTATGTCCAGTAGTCTCTACATGCGGGAAGGAGTCCAGTGGGGTCAAAATTTGTAAAGGAAGCTTGCTTTCCCTACAATAAAGTAAGGAGATGGGCTGATGTAGGACAGAACACATACACACACGAAGACTGCAGTAGTGAAGATTCCTAGGAAAGCTCCATATTTGTAGAAAGGCAGAAATGGAATTTGGCATCAAGTGTTTCATGCCAGCTATAGTACCTTTGGGATTAAATACTCTCAGCAATATATTTCTTGCAAGATTTTCAAGATACTGCTTCTCATATTCAATGCTGTGTTTATGTTCTTTGGTCTTAGAGCTAATATTTGACCTTGCCTGAAAAGCAATGAGATTTCAGATGCCACGTACGCTGATTGTACTAGAAACACAGAACCTGTGAGACCTGCTGGAGAGTCCATTGCAGTAAGCAGCATTATCCATTTACCACAAAGGGAGCCTGATGAGAAAGATGACAGCATAGTCTCATTTCTTACTTTTCCTGTCCACATTTCTCATTGGCCTTTACCCATTATGAAGGTACCTAATCACTCACTGAGTACTTTTAGTTTCTCATTACTCAGCACACTAAAATCACACACACACTGCACACAATATTTAAAATACAGGAAGACTTTTTTTCCCCTTTTACCAAATTATATATCCTGATCAAACTGTTTATCTGAACTCTCTCTAGAAATAGGCAAGAATCCTCTTGGAAAAAGGAAATTTAACCCACAGATGCACAGATGAGGGGAAATGCCTTTTCCATCTGATACCACTGACTAGAAAGGGCATGTAGGAATGTGGTTTAGATTAGGAAGATTAATCCTATCCTATACGTTTAAATACAGTTAAACAGAGAAATGCAGTCACAAAGATAGGTGTTTCTAGTACTCCATGCTCTCTACCTCAACTTTATTCCAATCTGCTTTGCTTTTAGAATTATAGGAGCACCTGTGCTGATGGCAGGAAGGTTTGTTTTACTTTCCTATATGCAGCAGGCTGGGAAGAAGTAAAAAAAATCTACTTTCCAAAGAAGGCAACATAGCACAGTTGTGATGGATGTCCATCAACACAGACAGTAAGTATTACCTTGGTTTGAATAGAGCTCAGGGCATCCACAACCTTCTGCATCTCAGGCTTGGCATTTCCCACCTGTAACACAAACCATATGAAAATAAAAATCACCATGTGTTCTCCTGACACCTTTAGTTTTCTGTTACAATTCTCAAAGAAAATTGTTTTCCAGCTACATTTCATTACATAATAGGAGTATTACAGCATAAGTGAATTAAACAGGGTCTGTAAAATCATGCCCGTTGACAGTGAGCACAAATGGGTCAGCCAAGGACATGGGACACAATGAAGCTATTTTCATTTACAGTGTGTGGATTTATTTTTGGACCTAAGCTGTTCTTCTTTTATGGAAGTCACCCTCCTAATAAAATAGTCACTCTCAGTGAGGCCAGGATGGAATACTACATACTGCTGGAGCAGACACTCCTCCAGCTAGCTGTCAAGACAATTCAACTAGCACAAAACACAAAACACTCTGGCATTTAACAAAGACAAGAGAAGGAAAATGGGTTTTATTTAGGTGGGTCACACTGCATATTCACACACATAACTTGGTCATTTATGCACATGACCTTTCACTGGTAACACTTATGGTAGCATCACTGTCTTGATGAAGGCAAGAATGCTGCTACAGGCCTGCCACAGTGATGGATGGCAGTCATACTCCATGGCCAGTGTACATTTTTTACAGATAAAGGAAGGTAAGAATTTGGAACACCACTTAGCTTGCTACGGATTTGGGCAGTATAGCAAATGCCGCCTTATTCTCTATTTTCTGCTTAGGTTCCCCTCTTCAACACAATGAATGTGCTGGACAAATAATACAAAAAGTTTGACAAACCTTCATGAAGATGCCCACCACAGCTAAACCATCAGGATGTTTCACAGCTTCAGCAAATTTACCATATTTTACATTCCAGTGAACAATATGGAGCTAGGAGTAAGAAAACAAAGAAGCATGGTAAAGATGATATTCCATCCAGACTACTTCACAAATGAACATGAAGGGAAGTAATTTATTAAGAGTAAGATGGTGTTTTACTGCTGAGGTTTGAAAGCTTCTGTGTACAGTTAAGAATATATTGAATTATTTATCTAGTTTAAAGTTTCATTTATTCAAAGAGATTTCTGTAATGTATTTTATTTTGCTCCTCACTCCTATTCCCTGGTGAGTTATAAAGGCAAGCTGTGGCTGTATCATTCTGCTTTTCATGTGGTGAATCTCCTGTTATCTTCAGCATAAGTTTTTCCCGCATACAGCCCACAGGATTTTGATGCAGTATTTTAATGCTATATATCCTGGAGTTCTTACTACACTGGTATATATTGCCAGTGTCAGAAGAAGCAGAGAAGACATATTAACTACAGATTTGACTCACAGTTTGTAAGTTTTTTTTAAAAAACAGTCCTGCCATTTACTGGAAAGACTTGGAAAAGAATATGAAATTGATCTCCAGGTCATGTTAGCCAAGATGTTACTTTCTTTTAAATTAGAAATAACTTGGAAATTAAAGTTCATCAGGCTGTTTCCCCACATCTGCAAGTTAAGTTTAACAAGTTATTATAGTACTGTGAAAGTCAGAAGGTGACCTAAAGTTTCTTAGATAAGACAAAAGCTACTTCTTTCATGAAAAAGCAGCAGAGCCAATAAATTTTTGGGGCCATTTCTTCTATCTGTCAGTGCAAATCACAGGTATGTTCCACAAGTGTATATTTATGAATATATTTTAGAAGTCAGTCACAGAAACCAAAGATGGATTTCTAAACAGAGGATGAAGAACGGTGTGATGTAAGGCATTAAAGTCACTCAGTTTCTGTATCAGACTGTAATATGGAATCTTAAGTGGTCTGAGGGACATCCAGAGTCTCAAGGGTATCACAAAGAGTGCCAGACAGTAACATTGCACTGTCTGCTCTCTTCATAGTTCCCCTTGATTCTTTACTACCAAAATATTAAAATATCTCCCCCAAAATTATTCTGCTGCTTTTATAAATACCTCTGATGTTAAAAACTGAAGCTAGGAAAAGGGGATGTGTGTGTTCAGATGTGCTGCAATTCTTTTTTCATAATTTCTAAGCATCACTGAGAAAGCAGGGGAAAAAATGGGTATTATTAATTGGGGTTTTCTGTTTCTCTTTGACATGAGGTAGCTGAAAATAATTACAACTTGAATGTCCTGCTCTTGCAAAGACTAAGGCATCATACCAAAATGGTCTATGGTAACCTTCTCCTATGAATATCTGTAGTCAAAGTACTACTGTGGTGGAATACTTAAAAAACCCCTCATTATACAAAGAAGACTGGATAAGGTAAAGCAGTCCTACCTCTGCATCATACTTCACACCATCCACAGTGTGCTCAGATCCCTGGCCATCACAGGAACCCCAGTGAATGTGAAACTGCACCAGCCTGTAGACTCCATCCAGCGCTCCTCCTTGCACCACTGCAAAGAAAAGAACTTTTATTAGCAACTCACATAATTTTTATTATCAAGTCTCCCTTCAAACTGAAACAGCTGTCTCAAATATTTTATGTCATTTACAGTTCAATGCATGCTGCCATGCTACTCCAGATCGTCCTCAATGGTACGTTACTGCAATACACCAAAATTGATAATAAATGCATAAAAACATAAGTGACTTTACAGTGAGCAGCTCATCAGCAATTTAACAGCATGCTAGTATTACAAGTGATGAGGAAGATGTAACTTTTCTGTCACCAAATAGATTAAAAAAGCCCTTTGTAAGAGCCCACATAGAATCATTCTAAGTATGTACATTTGAAGACTGAATCTTCTTCCATGTACTAATGTAGTCTGTCCTTTCATTTTAGACACTTCATCCATTTAGGCCTTAATCCTGCAAATCCTGTGGTAGATTGGATTGAGTAAAATGTTTTTGGTTCCAATTTAAACCTGAACACCTGTTAGCTATGGGTTAGCCTTCTTGCAGCAAGGTAAAGTGCTACGACAAGACAGTGCAGGGAGGTGAATTCAAATCTTTTGTCCTTCCCATTGTGATAAAAATGTCACTGCCTATACAGACAGACTTTTTGGAAAATATTTGTTTACTTTTGCTTTCTATTATCTGGCATTACTTGTGCTATGGGACTGCTCTGAGTGAAGTTCCCAGCCACACTTTGAATTATACAAGACCAAGCTCTCTTATTCTGCTTGTTAGTCTTACTCTTCTACTCCAACTGTGACCAATCACCATTATGATATGCAGGATCAAGCCTGACCATTGCAAAATGCGCAGGGCACAGACAATGTGTCCTCCAGTGCAGCATAAAGCACAGAATACTAACAAAAAGTTTTATTAAATAGAGCTATTTATCCAAGTTATCAGAAAGGTTTCACACCAGTTTGTGGGTTGGTTGGGGATTTTTTCCTTTTTTTTCCCCTAAGCATCTCAAATCCAAATTCAAAATTAAATCTTTAAGTTGTTAATATTTAAAAATTTACAAACAAAAAAGTAATTTGAAGTGTCAGATATTTTGAGACCAATTACTCTCTATAAGTATATATACAATAAAGTGACAGAAGAGTGCTGACATCAGATATTACATGTAAGTGTGCTCTATGTATGTGCCACAAAATGATTCTGTGGAGATGCTTTCCTCTCTGTCTGCAATTAGTCTAGGCACTAGCATAATATGTACATGTGTGAAAATATGTATCAAATGCTGATTGGAAAAGGTAGCTGCACGTTTGGAAAATTCCCATTATATACAAGCATGGACAACACCAGCCATGGATATAAACACTAAGGTGACAAATATTTCATTAAAAATCTGCAATACAAGAAAATGAAGTAAAATTTCTTAAAAATGCATTAGTTTCCAGCAGTGTTCCCTATGCATGCAAAATCTGGGCTCAGTGGACAAATCTAGTATTTGCCTAGGGCTCCTTTGGTAAATATATTTAAGTCTCCCTGAACGTATTTTTATTTGAAAAACATGAATAGATGTTCCACTGCAACCTATGTAATTTCCAATACTGTAGTCAGCAGACCAGGACTTGCCCTACCTACTTCCAAGCTATGTAATCCAAAGAAGAATGTCTACTTAAAGGAATCAAATAAGAACATATCTTATTCTACTTTCACATTTCTGCATGTGCTAGTTGCCAAGAAGCATAACTGTTTCAAGCACAGGACTACAAATACGAGAATTTTTTTTCAGAACAGCAGCTGTAGAAGGGCATTAGTAACTTCTGGAAATGGAACACCTGGTTGCTGTGTCTTTATAGATTCAAAATAATTTAATGTATACAATTTCAAGTCTCACTCTAAAATTATGCCATGGAGTTGCAATGTTTCAGTTCCTTTAGCTCACAGTCTTGCTGGTTGTTGCAGGTACAAATGGACTGAGGTTCCACCACTCTTCCACCTCAGAAAGCACTAGCACAGCACAGGTTAATCTGCCATTATTAATCAATGGAAAGCATGCTGAAAAGCAGAACCATGCAACGTTCTTAAGTTCATTTGCAGTGTTATTTCTCCACACAAAGTTTGCTAGAGTCTCAAAACCCCGAAAGATGCAGAAAAATCTCTTTGCAGTTTTTGCTTACTTTTCTCATTCTGTGGTTCTCAAATCCAGCACTAGCTTATTTTGACTCACAGCAGAGCATTCAAAGAAAGTAATAATTAGATTAGTGAGAATGAATACAAATCCAGCAGGCTTAATTACAGAATGGCCCTCTTGTTCTAGCCTACATTAAGCAGTTATTTTATTTTTAATTCTTCTCAGTCTTTCCAAGAAAGTAAAACTTAAAACCAAATTTAAAAGTCAAAGTAGGAATGATCAAACTGCTATTTTCTTCAGAACAAACTTTTTAAACCATAAATGAATGCTACCAGCTTTTGCACTATAAAAGTTCACAGAGAATCAGAACAACATTCATACCAGCAATTTCCCTGTCCATGTTCCATGTGACAGGAATATCAACTCAAGGCCATGTTGAAAAAAGTCCAATCTTTCCATCCCGTTTTAAAAACGGATGGGGAAGTTCTGATCCATATTTGAGCATTTCATTATTATTTCCCTTACTTTTGAAATCAGTATTAGTGAAAACCATCCTGGAAATACATATGTAGCTTTGATCCCTTCTGTTTTATGGCACAGTTTCAGATGCATGGTGTCTGAATACAACATGAGTTGAAAAAACATTCTTTTCTTACAGATTCCATTTACTCATGACAGTTTACATCATAAACTGGTCTTGTGTTACAGCCCAAGAGGGGACAGTTTGACAGTGCACTTTCTTCTTTTCCCTATTAGACACTTAGCAAATTTGGAGCTACTTTCGTTCGATTAAGAAATGGTAATTTTTTTCAATTACCATTCTATCTTCTATCCTTTACTGGAAAGGCTATACTAGCAACATCCAGTAATGACATTTCACTGTTAAATGGTCTCATAATGTGGTCTAAATTAGGTGAATACAAGTACTAGCACCACTAATTCAGGAAGTCAAATAACTACACAAACTCTTCCACTTATGTGACTTGCGCCAGCTGTAGGATTTCTTGGATACAGAAGATGAAGTTGATTTGACTCCATTATACTTTCTTGATATTTGAAAACACACAGAAATCAAAGGGTGTTTTGCTGCATCAGCTGTTTACTGAGGCTACACACTTTCACTGTTCTATTTAAAGGCAGGTTGGTGAACAATTATCCTTCTAATGTGAAGCATAACAGCCTTGTAAAAAAATACTGTGGACCACTTCATACCTTTTCTCAGGAAGTGGCAGCATCCACATCTAAATTTTTGCAAGAATACTGTGGGAATTACTGTTATTTAGTTAAATCCTATGGAATGTTCTCTTTATACAGATCAGAAGACTAATACATTCATAAAGCAAATAAACATGTCAAAGGATTCATCAAAATGGAGGAGCTATAAGACTGTTTAATGAGTTAGACCGAATTCCTTCCTGTCATACAAATCAGTGTGACAAGAAGAAATACTACTGTAAAGTTTGTTAGAAAATACGGAACGAGAAAATGTTCTACAAATGACAATCACTACAAAGCTCCTACAAATGACAATCACTACAAAGCTCCTTCCAGTAGCAGAAATAATGAGTCCACTAGAGTACAGTAGATATTCAAAAGCTCCAAATCTCAATCTCTAATTGAGATTCCACCAAACAAAAACCTAGCAGCAGGATATTTCAAGCACCTACCTTTGAGAACAGCCCTCTCACACACACACTGCTTTAGCACAAAGAAAATCACGCTTTTGTATCAGCCTATGGTAGATGTGAAGTGTAAATAATATTCTAGGCATATGTTTATGTAAACATATGCATAGTACCTACATTAGTGCTAATATTTGTTAAGCTTTTGTGTGTACACAGACATCTGCACAATGGAAAACAGGACCTGAAGGGACAAAGCAGATGAAGCACTACTTGAGGCAAGGAAAAAAACCTACTTGAGCACCATGTACTATTAATGACATGAAAAAGGCTCTTATGAGGATGCTCAGGAATTAGCCTTGTGTTCTTATGCAAGGATGGGCTTCCCATCTGACAGGCTAGAGAGTTCAGTTAGGGTAAGCTGTCACTTCTGTGAAATATGGAGTACAGAGAGTCACATTTTGTGAGATGTTTCCTTCTTTATGTTATCTCTTTCAGACATTCCTCCTAGGACATTGTATCATGACAAGCAACAAGAGCAAGATAGCATTGAAGCATCTGACTGTAGAGCTTGTATTTGCAGAAAATGTCTGTAATGGATTTCACTATGAGAAAAAAAAAATGGTCTATCATAAGGGAAAAAAACCAAAACAAACCTACTTCTGACCTTGCTAGAAATTGAGCCTGATAAGGCTACAGGGATGTTCCACAGAGATAGACCAGAATGAAACAGCTGCCAAAACACAGCATGTCTGAAGACGTGTGTATCTACAGCAGGTCAGTGGTTCCAATTCACCTCAGTTGAACTATTTCATCCAGACTGGGCAGCAGCCAGGAAGACTCTGACCTGCTTCAGGATACAAAGTCATTCAGGTTCTTAACATTCCTCCAGCTCCCTGGGACCAGCAGAGCTTATTTCTCATGCAGTCTCTTAAACAGAAATTCTCTGAGAATCATAAGATGCTGTACTGAGTCTCTGACCAGCCTTCAGCCCTCACATTTCACACTATATAGGCTTACACCAAGCTGGAAAGTATATCTTGAAAGTATCAACTGATTTAATTTCTAATAGCAATACTTAAATACTATGCAGTGGCTGCTCACTATACTGAAAATTGTGCACTGCAGTGTTCATACTACACTCAGATCTAATGAAGGACTAACAAACTCAAGGTGTGAGCCTCTGAATATGCAGTAAGTAAATAAACAAATTATCAGCTGAGAAGAGTGGTAATCGTGACATCTGGCACACAGCTTCATTACGGCTTAAAAATAAACTTTTCCAAGTGGCCCCAGCTGATAACAGCTGACTAGTTTCTCCTGGTTTTGCATTAAAAGCACCTCTAGAGGAGGGATTAGCAAAAGGAAAGGAAGTAAGTTTCCATGATTGTTAAATGCGCAATTCAGGTCAAATTTCTGCTCAGAAATAGCATATTAACATTAAAAACAAAACAAACAAACAGAAAAAAATCCCACACACAAACAAACCCCACCACAGTGCAAATGCAGAAGGACATTTCTCTGTAAAGAAATGAAGACCTGAAACATGCAGGACTAAACTCATGCCCTCTCATCTTGCTTTCCAGTTCCTGGAAATACTGGAACTATTCAAGTCACTTGTTTATACAGACTTTGCAGCTTCTGGTGATCCCAATTCACAGGAAAATTACTTAAAGCATGCCCTTGAAACCTCTGACATTTTAGCTAAGCCATACACAACATTACATGTGACATAAACAGGTGTCTGAATACAGTCCCCTAAATCTATAATCAATCAGCTCTCTGATCTCTGATTCCGAAGGATCAACACATTCATTGCTTAAGCAATGTAGACCTACAATGCATGACTCTATACTGATGACATGCAATATTATTCTGGCATGGTTAATATTATATCTTTAGATCTGGGAAGCCTAAAAATATACCAGTAGCAGTGACTTTGATTAAGAGTTGTGCCTTAAAGACAGCAGACGTACATGTTTCTTCTTCCACTTACCAGCTGAGGTAGAAGTGTAAAAGAGCAACAATGACATTATTTTCAAAGAAACTCACTGCCAACTGAGCAGTGCTAATGCACTGGCTCTTCCATAACCACTGTGACAAAATAGATTATTTTATTTACAGTGAGTCATAATTCAAGACAGCTGAAGTGTATGCATTGATATTTACAATTATAGAAAGAATCAGGTAAAATATTGGATTAGAATGACTGAAAGACTCTCAAGGGGAACTAGCATTTAGGCAAATACAGGATTTTAATTTTCAAGGTTTTCTCATAACTTTTACGTTCTACTATGACTTAGTATTAGCAAAAATGTCTGATTTTCTTGGGACATTGACTTGAATTTCAATACTCTAGCTCAGCAGCAAGGAGAAGGAAACAATTAAGAGACTTAGCCACAAGCATAAATTACCAGCATATTTTGTCAAGTCTCTAGAGTTTGATACCATAGTTGCAATTCACTTCTGTCAGGTTCTACAGCTAAAATATGATATTTTAACATTCTTGTTATGGAATAAATTAATGGCTGATTGACTTCTTTCTTTTATAAGCTCATCAAACACTTGATCAGAAAATACAGAATAGAGAATCTACTGTTGTGAACATGCCTCACTTGAATTTCTGAACTTAGATAAATTCTCAAAGTCTCTCTGGAAAAATTCACACAAGGAACACACTTTATGCATGTTACAAAATCTTGCAGGCTCTTGAGGGTTTTTTGGGCACAGTCATGTCCTGTGGTTTTATGGCTCTGAGAGGTCGCTGTTTACTTCTGTCTTTTAAAGTGAGGGAAGTGATACACAAGTCCTTACAGAAGACTGGAATATGCAACATTTATTATGTTAAAAGATGTCCCCTTAATGAGACTCCTTTGCTGTAAAGTTCTTGTATAATAGTTACACATCTTATTTTAAGAATTATCATCATCACTTGCTTCACTCATACAAGTAGGGTCTGGTTCCATTATGAGAGTGGATGAACCTGAATTCAAAGTTTTATTCCTAGTGACACTTTTATGATAATGAGTTTTTGCTGTCAAAATGAAGAAGAAATTTTTGAAATTAAAGACTTTTAAAGATTAATGCCTACAAATACTTTATGTTCCACTACTATTAAAGACAGTGGATGTGAAAATTAATAAATCAGCTGGAAGAACTGAATGTGAAGACTGACTAAGTAACAACTGAATGGGGAAGTTCAGAGTTCAGTTTCTACATACAACCCCAAGAAAGCATTCCAAAAGGCTCCCAGCATACAAAATAGAAAATACCTATTTTTATTATGCTATTACTACCTGCTTGGAGTTTTTTAGTGGCAATTATATATTTTTATTATATAATTTTTTTTATTGTTATTATATATTATTTATTATATTTAAATTGAATTTTGTATATTCTGAAGAGCAGAAGTGATCAGTCGTACACTAAGACCTAGAACTGCTGTTCAGTTTGCTTCAGTGTCGTTAGTTATGAGACTGACAGTTCTTAATGAAATGGATCTACTTTTCGTGCAGTTACTCATCTTGAAGATTATTCACAAACAATGATCTTATTACTTCATTTTGCGCCTACTACTACAGATAATTCATTACCACATATGGGACAGCTCATAGAAACAAGCAATACAGCCTGTGGGAAGTATTTACAGGATATTATTCCATTGTCTTTTGTAAAACATACCAGCACATCACATAACCTCACATAGCTTCTCCCTGTGACTGTTGTGTGATGTCTAAGCAAGAACGGGGTATACACATTTGAGTCTCAAATTCAGAATCAAGCAGATACAAGTCAAAGACAGCTCTATTTTGTGTAAGGAAAGTAGGTTACCTAGTTAACCGCATACAAATGAAGCCATTAAGTGTGCTGCCAGGTAGATTCTATGCACTGCAAGTTTCAATAGGAAGTCTAGTATTGAATGATCCACCATTACCCAGCTTCACAGGTATCTGTTTAGTGGTTTTTGTTTCTAAATAATAATATTTTTTTGCTTCACTAATAGAGATACTGAGAATATTTCTACTCGCATCTCCTATCCTCCCACTCTGAAAGCTGTGTCACTGCATATTTGTCAAAGAATCCCTGTCACAGATGTTCTGGTTCTGCACTGACTTCTCATAAAGAGCATTCTTCCTGCAGACATTTCTTTAAATTATTTTATGCTCCTGCCATTTTTTCCTCACAACCTGATTTTCACAGTTGTTTTTACGGACTTAGGTACACACCAAGTGAACAGTGAACACAATAGCTTTTTACACTGTGGAGACCCGAACCTCATTCTTTTGGGCTCAGTGAGAGCAGGATGGAAGCAAGAGTAGACTTGCACATATCTGGTAAGAATTTTTTTTTTGTACTCTGGATCATTTACCTTATTCTCCATGACACTGTTATGACACTGTTAAACTGAACACGATTCAGCTCCTTTAGCTTCCCAGTGTTTCAAAAAATAAACAGAGGTCAGAATACCTTTTTCCTCTCCTTTTAAAAGTGTACAAATATTTACATTGATGCTTTCTGTAAATTGTATGTGGACCTATGTGTATTTATACAACCTTTAACATTTATATCTGACTACTTAATATTGTCCAACATAAAAAATATAGTTAAAGTACAAAGTCAAATTCTTAGAGCACTGCTGAATATCTGTTATACTGCTGTATTACATTAGTTACAAAAGCCTCATATTTTTAGTAGGCACAGATCATTTGGTTTCAGCACCATTCCCTATATGACATACCCAACAAAACACTTAGGAAAAATAGGACACTTGCTCAAGCAAGTTAAATCAGGCAGTGTATAGAGAAGGCAGTGACTTACAACACGATTGTTTTTGTTGTCCAAATTAAAAGCACATTCATTGTGGCAGGGTGATGACTTCTGCAAATGCAGCCATATGAAAAACTACAATGAAAGACAACATACAGAGCCCTCGTTGCAAGGACAGCTTAGATTCAGTCTGCCCATCAGAAAGGCTGTTCTTTTCAGTAAGAATTACTAAGGTTTTGCAGGATTCTGTGCTTAATTTCACCACAGAGCACAATGAACAGCAAGATACTGTGGATCAATTGTCTGCTACCAAACTTTTCAAGAATCCATCAGACACTTTATCTAGAAAGTTCAGCATCAAGAAACACCAGGGATAATGCTTTTTTGACTTATAAAGGAACAAAGAGGTTTTTTCTAATAATTTCTCTGTTTCTGTGCTAACCTGGGAGCATACTGGCTTCGGAAATATTAAATAATATTTTGATAACCAAAGAAACTATTTCCTCTTCAAGTTGTTAACTGTAATCCTTTGCTATTCTAAGGCGATTTTTTGCTACAATGTATCTCGCATCTTCTTTTAACCATTTAAGCAGTAGCTTAGGATAATCTATGCCTAAAATTATTCCTGTCAAATATGCTTAATTTTTTTTCTTTCCACAGCCAAGCCCTTATCCAGCTCCTTCTGATTTATACAAAAATAAACCAATTCACTTCACTGGACTTTAGCTGCTTAGACAGCCTTAGTTTTCTTCTAATGGGATCTCAGTTTCCTGTTTGCTGAATCCTCACCTTACAGGAGCCAGAATATTTTAGTATGTTTTCATCCTTAAAAAACGCTTATGGATTTAGAATACATTTTAGTAGGAGTGTTAGTAGCAATTTCTGTCATTCCCCTCCTGCACACGAAGGTGAGGTCTCACCTGACTTGTCGGAAGAATCATCAAACTCCACGTTGAAAGAGTGCCCATTGTTGACGATGTTTCTGGCCGTGCTGGCATCATAACTGAAGCTGAGAGGCTTCAGAGAGGAGTCGTACTTGGCGGACTTGCGGCAGATGTCAATGGGGGACTGGCGCTCTCCATTGGCGATGGGAAAGTGCTCATGCCAGTGAGCGGGTCCTGTAAGACAGCGGGAAGCAACTCAGTGGAAAAAGACACAAAGTTCGGGGGGATATAAGAGATAACCTTCTCTCTGGAAATCGGGATGTTCGAACACCAGCATCAGCCTTTAGCTGCGTGCCACTTGTGTGGGCTGGCGGTAGTAGCAGCACAGGCGAGCAGAGATCCCACCTGGGCACCGAGACAGCCGGCAGCCGCACAGCCTCGGCGGCTGAGGCGGGGGTTGTACCGGGGAGTCCCCGGGGACACCCCGTTCTGTGGAGCAGCGCCCATCGCTCCCTTCCCGAAGTAAAGGAATGTCAGCAGGGAAGCAGGAGATGCTCCGGCACGGCGTGCGGAGCGCCGGACAGGCTGCCCGGACGCAGGTGCATTTCAAGGTTACGAGGAAAAAGCGCCACCGAGCTCACTGCCGCTTCAAGCAAGGGCTCCGCGGAGCAGCAGCGGGCGCGGCTCCCGGGGACCTGCCGGCAGGTGTCCCGCACGCCGGGCACTCACCGTCGTGGCTGCCGTATCCCCAGTGGTGGGACATGGTGCGGCCCGGCTCTGCCCGCGGAGGCTGTCACAGCACCGTGGCCCCAGCACGCTCTCAGGGGCTTTTATAGGCTCCCGCCAACTCCATGCCCTTCTCTTCGGCCAGAGGAGGGGTGGGGAGTGCGGGCGAGGGCGGAGGGAGACTCCGCTGGGGGCGGGGAGAGCGGTCCCTTATAATCCGCCATCGGCCGCGGAGCTGTAGCGGGCCCGGTGAAGAGCGCCCCCAGCAGGCAGGCGGGCGGTGCCAGGCGGTTCGCAGCGGCCGCAGGCAGGGCGGGGGTGCCGGGCCCCCTCCCGGTTCCTCCTTCCATCCTTCCATCCTTCCATCCTTCCGCCCTTCCGCGCATCGCGCACCTGCGGGCGCTGCGGGGCGCCGTGAGGCGCCGTGACCTTGGGAGGTGCCGGTGGCTGGGCCGAGCAGCGCGCTGGGAGCCGGAGCGGGGCGGGCGGCGGTGCGAGGCTGCGGTGTGAGAGAGGGAGCGCGGTGCGCCCGCGCGTCCCGCGGTGCGCCCGCGTGTCCCGCGGTGCGCCCGCGCGTCCCGCGGTGCGCCCGTGTGTCCCGCGGTGCGCCCGCGTGTCCCGCGGTGCCTGCGTCTGTGTGTACGTGCGGTGCGCGGCGCGGCAGGGCGGTCGGGTGCTGCTCCCTGCCGGGAGCGGAGGGAAAAGAGGGAAGAGGGCAGTTCAGCAGTGCCGAGGGTCCTGCAGCCGGGGTTTGTCGCAGGTGCCAGGTTTTGGAGGCGGAGATCGGCGGAGTTGCGGAGAGGAGCTGCGGTGGGGCTTCAGAAAAACGGGCACGTCACCGCTTATTTCTCCGTAGTGCGTTTTTCCCGATCGCCTCCGGAGAAGCTGCCGGTCGAGCTGCGCTTACGTGTAATTCTTATCATTGAGGCATTACACGCTTAACTGTGAGTGCGGCTCAGCTACCGCTCTCGAGGCTGGATTAGCGAGAACAAAACTGTGCAATACATATTTTAGATGTTTTCCTCTTGCGCAACGCTCCGGTGCTCTGTGGCAGGACAGGAGGGATCGGACCTTGGCAGCCCTTCCAGCGGCGGCTCCGTGCCGTGCCGTGCCGCTTCCCTCGGCTCGGCGCTGCGGTGGGGCGGGCTGGCCCCGAGGGGCAGCTCCTAGCCGAGTGCGCTTGCAGATGGTCTTGTTCGAAGACTTTTCTGTGCCTTGCTCTGAGCAGTTTTCGGTATGGAAATGACATTGTAACTTAATCCATTTTCTTATTAAGATGGTTTATTCAAATCTGGTTTTAATATCGTTCCGTTGTGATTTAACCACGGGGAACTAGGTTCTGTTTTCAGTGAGGTCATTGTAAATCTAGAATAACAACACCAGAATGACTTCATCATTTACATTCTGCATTGTAAAATCTTCGTCTTTTGTTTGTATTTGTAAGAGGAGGGAGAAAAGTCTATTTGTGTAATGGGTACTATTGGTAACAGGAAATGTAACCAACTGGAAGTCACTTAAAAAATTAGACATTTCTCAGATCCTTTCAAGTATAAGCAGAAAATATTTAAAGCTTATTAGTGATTAACACTGTGTGTGTACTCACATTTGCATGCTTCAATATGGTTTAGTGACCACAAAATGGAAATTTGATAGCAAAACTGTATACATCGAAGTTATTTAGAAATGGCTGTGGTGTGTGATGTAGAACAACAAATGGAAATGTATGTTTCACATTTATTAGTCATTCCTTGTTCTATTATTATAGATACTTTGCATCAGTCACTTTCAAATCTGCCAGTCATACTATCCAGTATATCAAGTCAGTAAATGCGGAGATACATAAACCCATATAGGTAAAACCCCTTAAAGAACACACTAAGAAACATCTCTTTATGTTGTAAGAAGGAATAAGATTTTGGTACGTTTCAGAAGGTTTCCTTCCATTCAATTTTACTGTTGAAAAAAATCCATTCAGCCTGATTCTTCTGTACTCTCACAAGCTAAGTTTCCACTGACGTCAACAGGAGTACCATATAAAGGACAAGTACAGGATTAAACATGACACGATGTTTGGCATAGTAGGCTTCCTAAAAGATCTTAGGGCTCTTACCAGGGAAATTTTAAGTCACCAGCATCACCAAGGGACTGGGATATTTTTTAATCTTTATTTTCTTATCAGTAAATGTGGTGCATGCTAAGCATGCAGACATACATCTCCAAATAGAACGTCCCATGCTCTTGAAATCAAATACCTCTTTTCCTTGATCATTCAGCAGTACTTGCAGGCTTGAGCCCATGCCAAGGGACTAATGAGAGCCTGGCATTGACTTGGGCTTGTTGATTCCAGCCTCCTTCTTTTCTCCCACCAGCATCAGACTCATGATCTGTGACTGTGGCTCTGTGGCAGAATGCAGTGCCTCAGGCAAAGCCATAAGCTAGCCCCAAGAGGAAGGTGGATACTAGAAACAGTACAATCGATCACACTGCACACGGGTGAAGCTGCAAGGCATGTTAGCAACAGCAAAAGGACAAAATACACATCAGCTCAGTGCCTGCAGCAGTTCAGGCTTCTCACAGAAATCCAAACTATGCTCCACGAGGCTGCTCCTCTCTGCCCAGTTGTGATGAAGTCAGTGGAATGACGCACACCACTGAGGCCTACTTGCATGTACAGAATGTGTAGGAGCAGTTCCTAAAGCACACGGTCACAAATCCTGTGGCAACAGAAGCATTATAAATGCATTTCAAGCAATACAAATAAAGGGAACAGATTAGATAATTACTGTAGCCATTTGATTACTCATGATTGACATTAACATTTTGGGTAGAAAAGATGCCAGTGCAATCTTGTCTCTCTTTTCTGTCACTACTGGTGCCACATACTGTGAAGGTTTTTAGAAACTAATAAAAGCAGATGCTATTCTTTATCTCTCCTTAATTTCTTAGAGTCAGATCACATCCAAATGTGGTAAACAAATTGGTGTTTGATGGTACTTCTGAATCATATTAAATACAAACAGAAGCAGCATCAATAGCTTCAGTAAGTGCAAACTCTTCATTTACTCAGATACCTCCATGCTGTTTATGGTACTCATTCATGGGCAAATGACAGTGCAAAGCCTGTACATCACTCAGGCCCCACTTGAATTCCGTTTTGAAGTGTTACATGTCACAGAACAGTTGCTGACTCTGTGCACAGGAAGGGCACATCCTGTTTGTGTATGCTTTATGAAATTTCCTGAAATATATTCTTATTGTGATTATTATTACTTGTGAAGCACAGAAAATGTCACTACAGATGGAAAGTGGCACAGATGCTTCCATACCTAAGTCTTCTTTTCCTTAGTAAATTACCAGCTTCTAGTACTACTCTGGCTGCAGGAGTGATGACATGTCACACAGGCTATAACCCGCTAGATATTTTCAGCAGAAGTGCATTCAATGATTATGTTGTGAATCTACATTTTAATTTTCATTATAGATTTTCAACTCTGAAACTCTATTTGCAGTCTTTTTGTATCATTAACAGTCATGTTACTGTTCAGTGCTGAGCAAAATGCAGAACTTTGCAGTGTTCTGATTCATTCTAGCAATTCTGTGAAAGTTAAATGCAATTATGAAAATAAAAGTAATTTTTGGTCCTTGGTCAGGTTAGAGTTCTTTCTTGTATTACAAAACTGATGGTTTACTACTAATTTCTAATGAGACTAATACATGTGCTACAAGCTTCATGACATGTCAGTGCAGTGGGAAAAGCCTGACTGCCTCTCATGTTGAGTTCTAACTATTGCTGATACAAGCCACTTCAATGCATTTTGAAATATACATATAAACTTTGAAATATACCAACTTTAAGTAGTCTCTGCTGTAAAAATGAACAAGCTTGACTGCATGGTTTCCAGACAAAAGCTATTTGTCATGATTCAGTGAAATTACATCCATGTGATAAAGCCCTGTAAAATTAATGTCAGTAAAGACATTTCAGTTAAGTCCTGCATATTTAGGAGAATCTCTGTGTATGTGCCTTCTCACACCAGGCTAAAGTATTGGTTCACTAGCTGCCATGATGTTTTGAACTGCCTCACAGCCTGGCCTTTAGGTGTCTGGTCTGTAGTCTCACGTGCTATTTCCTTGTTCATGTGATAGTGTGTCTTCCTTCTCACACATGAATGTGTCTGTGGTCATCATCCTGACTTCTCACTATGTAACTTTCTGCAAATTCACTCCATAATGTTTTGAAAACCTCTGCCTCCTGCAACTGGCATTGTTGCTGGTAAACTTATATCAACTCCTACTGCAA